TCCTAAGTTAATTTACACGCAACCTAGCACAAGAAATTGCACTCCCCAAAGGAACATCGAACCTCCTCAAAAAGGTCCTATAAATGCTGCGGCTCTTTTAAATGGGGTCTTATGGAGAGACGTGTGTTGTTTGGGGAGGGTATGGCTTGAATCTTCACGCCCCTCCGCCACAGAAAGATGATACCAAATAATCACATACTTACCCAAAATCTATGACACTACAATTACTACTCCCCCAAACCCAAGTACCTGATTATTGGGTACATGGACCCTTGGGGATTGCCCCCAAAACATGCCTATCTGGGCTTCCATACTTCCATGGTCGCTTCAAAATATCGCGTTGCGGTTTATGGAGCGCGAGATATCAAATTACGTTTTGCAACGGAAAAAAAGATAGTAGATCACTTGTTTCGCCCATTGTGTTACCTTTACCTGAGTAACCTTCAACCCTACACCCTCACCTAAATCCTAGACCCTCAACCCCCTAAACCCAGTCCGTCAACCCTAAGCATATAGAACTGTCACACCTCAGGCCCAAGCTCAAGATATCGCAAATCTATGGTTTAGGGTCAGATTGGTCGGTTTCGGGTCTAGGGTTTAGGTTTAGGGTTTGGTTGGTTGTTTTAGGGTTTAGGGTTTCGTGTTTGGGGTTAGAGTTCAAGGCTTCGGGATATTGACCCCTGAAAATGGAGAAACAAAAGAAAAACGGAAAAGAAAGTGGAAAATAAAACAGAAGCTTGGACCATGTAGGATTCAGGGTTTCTCAAAATTACGTTTTTGCGGGGTCCCTCTTCTTGGTACTAAAGACCATAATATGATGGGGTCTATTTTAGGATCCCGCTATTGATGGAAATTACCAATCTAAGCCCCAGTCGAAAAACATGACGAACTCAACTCTCTCTGTACGACCTGTAAACCCTACCCCCAACTCAAGAAACCCTACTTGCAGGACTTGGTAAGTATACTTATAACCCCTACAAACCACCTAATAACCCCAAACTATTGCCCCTAAACCTTAAACCCTGAACCCCCGAATACTGTAGTCGTTTCCATTTTCTTCACCATTATTACTAAGCCTCCCTGACCCTGCAAGTAAAGAGTCCCAGGTACGAGGTTGCCGAAGAAAGCAGCAAACCATAGACGCTGCAGCAGCAACATGGGCTGAAGTAAGACTTTCGAGAAAGGGGTATCCTTCAAAGGCTGGGTGGGTATGTATTCTACACCCTTTAGAGTGCAGGGTTTAGGGTTACAAGGTCATATAGATCTTACACCAAGAACGGAGAATTACATGTAAAATTAATTCAAAACACTACTAGTCAGGATGTAGGGTTTTAAGGGTTTACGAAGACTACCCGTACCCCTTCCTTAGGGCTATGTGGCCTCCAACAATGGGCACTTAGGCCACAAAGATGGTAGTTGGAGGGTCTACGTATGAATATATGTATGTCTATCTGTCTATATGTGTGTATATATATATATATCTAGCTATCTATCTGTCTATTCATATATATATATATACGTACACAATATGCGGATCTACAACGATGAGGGTTACCAAGCAGCGTTTAGGGATCAAGGCAATGACATGTTTTCGGGGTTATCATTTACAATATACGAACAGTACGCATGAAGTTGTGAACCATGGATCTTATCAGTGCTTGTTCGATTTAGTGCCCATCTTCGCTTTCAATTTGGTAACCGTAGTTGCTAAGCACGGCTCTGTTCTTCTCACAGACTAGGATAGCCCGTGGAAGGAATAATCTTACTCTACATTGGGGATTGTAGGATCCCCCCACGAAACTACTACTTTCTGGCAATGGACACGGGCCTGCTGAATGTGCATCTTCAGCTACCCGCTACCCTAAATCCTGAGCTCTAAATCCCTGAGCCCCAAACTCGACACCCTCACCCCTAAAACCTACAGGCATCATCCAGCCCAGGCTGCAGACCAATTTGTTCTGATCCTAAACCAAAGCTAGAGCTCCCGAATACCCAGAATACGATGGATGCTAAAAATTCTGCATGACCTCAAGTACCTTACACCTTCAAAACCATGGCATTGTAGTAGACTAACGTCATGCAGCATCCTTAGCATCGACAGGAATGGCCTTTGACCCCCCAATAATAGGTATACATGTACCCAGTGCTGATGAATCGTATCTTTCCCCATACCTGTTCTGATCTCATGTTTGTTTTGTGCAAAATCCCTGATACCTGGGCACTCAGAACCTCAGGGCAAGACTCCAAACGCAACACTTAGAAACGTAAGCACTAGCTGCTACAGACCCAAGTTTTGGAATCTGCAACCCATCAGACCCTTAACCTTGCACAAACAAAAAAAACCCAGAATAGTACCCGCCAAGGGAAACGCCAGCTTTATGCAGTGGGTTTTGGGATGTTTGCGGGCTAAGCGGTTCACTTTGAATGGCGCCCGCCACTAGGTGGGTGACCTCTTAGCAAGTTTGCTTCTAGCAGGCACCTTTTGGGACTTCATACTCAAGTCGAAGAGCGTAGTAAAGTCTGCAATGCACATGCAGGCCTGAAGGCAAGACCGCAAAACGCTACCACAGAAAACATCAATTGTCTTTTCCTTGAAGGAGAGGTTATGGGGTTAGAGAGAGGTATCTAGGGGTTAGATGGGGACAATGGAAAAAGAAGGTGGAAGCTACTATTTAGGGTTATACAGTTGAAAGGAGAGTATACAAACACATGGTTGTTAGATGGATGGTCTGTCCTATCTGGGGGGGCCCAAGTAGCTACTTGAGGTGAGCCAAACTTCTTTCAGGGGAGCACACATGACGATTGCTTCTATGTTGAAGTCCTACATCAGAAATTATGCGAGTTTTGGTGGAATTTGCTCACAAAAGGCTGCATAGCTTTTCAGAACCCTGGAAGGCATAAGTCCCAAAACCATTTTTTCAGTCTGCTAGATGAGTCCCTGCTCCGTTCTATGCACCGTCAGCGCGACCACACTCCAGATCTTGCCAGATCTGCAGAGCTTAAACGCTTCGTGGCAACAACTGCGTACATAAACGTGGGAGCTTCTAAGCTTGTGAGGATGCTAACCCAGCGGGTCCATGTACCCAATAATTGGGTAATCGGGTTTTGGGTAATAGTAATTGTAGTAAAGGATAGTAAAGGTTTTGGGTAAGTATATGACTACTAGGTACTTGGACCCTTAGGCCAACCTTCAATTTTGGGTCTCAGGGCTTTAGGTTTTTGGGTTTGGGGTTTTAGTACTTGAGGAATTAACGGCTGAGGGTTTAGGATTTGAGGTGGTGGTTATGGTCATGTGACACGACTTGCTCTTAAGGATAATATCTCGCCTGGATATCAGAAACTCCCATACTTGCCCGTATCAAATGCAAGAGTCTCCGGTCGCATGCGTGTACAACAGAGATCCATGGTCTATGTTGAAGGAAAGAAGACTCTTGTTTTGAAACTGGAAATTAGGTTGCTAGATGGCAATGCATCACCACTTTCCTTGCCAAGTTTCAGAAGCCGTCTCGGTCTATAGGATAAATGACGCTGGAATGCCAGTGAAGGTGGCAGCAAAACGCGCACAAAGGCGCAATGGAGGTCCTTTCTCGTTGACCGAGATTCCAGGCCCTTCGTAGCCACGCTGTGGCAATCGACGAGCTATTTCAAACTGAAAGCCGTCAAAGCAGCAGGCAGATGCAAGCTGCTTTGAGAACATTGGCACATCCTACATCTTGCGGGGTGCCTTTGCCCGCAGTGTTCACGCAGCACGCTTGGAACGTACTGAGGAACAGATCCAGGATGAAACAACCCAGGTAGGTTCTTGGTAGGTAGTTGGCTCGTAATCTGCGATAGCACCTACAAGTTACTACAGGGGACGCTGGGATATTTCCTGCATATCACTTGAGCGTTTTCCTACCTAGGAAAGGCAAGACATTGGCCCTGAATTACAAGCCTCAAACTGAGGTTGGAAAAGGGTCACTGCAGCCGCTTCGCTTCTGTCCGACAGGTCATCATTACCCGTTGCGTAGGATTCAGGGTTAAGGCTTGGGCTTTACCTAGAGTAACCTAAGTACGTAGAAAAAAGGGGTTTTGTCTCTGATAGTTTTGCATCTTTACCTCTTGTTAAAGATCAAAGACAACTGAAATTAGTAACCTATATACCTATACAAGAGGGCTTTGTGCCTTAGAGTTTGGTATCTTTAGCATTTAAGGGACTGTAGGTAGGGTGCCAGGACCGCTGGCCTTGTAGCATTGACCGCCTATCATCTTCACCGGCAACACCGACTAATAGCGACCGCAAGAGACCTACAGGTTACAGCTATATCTGTGCGGAGGCCTAGCCCAAATTCTCGACATCAAAGTTGGGGCCTTCCCTAAATCAAAGTTAAAGACTTTTCTAACCATCTAGACATCTCTATCCGAAAGTTGATTTTTTAGGATGTTAACACGAGTAGTTGTAGTAAAGATATTGGGGAAGTATATGATTTTCGGGTACTATCCTACACCCTAGGACTCACGTAGCCCTACATAGATACAGATGTCCAAAAAACTTACATTCTTGGGTACCTGGACCCCTATTGCTTGCTAAAGGAACCAGAAAACAAGAGGTTCTGTAATACCAAATCATGTCACACATACAGCACCAACCCACACAGAAGAACATCAAGAAGTGGATAGTATCATTTGTCGGTGCCTCACGGAAGCAATCGAGGCAAACATCCCAAAGTCCCAGAGGTCATTACCCTAATACAACGCAGAAGACATGAGGACTTCTGAGCACAGAGACGAAGGTAGCTGCTGAGCATGCACGAACTCGAAGTACAAACTAGCACTATGACTTTGGCTTGATTCTTCATATTCGTGCTAATGCTATTGCTGGTATGGTTGTGAAACTTACGGTTACTAATTACGGTAGAACATGACTGATGATGTGCTATTGCCTGCCGGATGATGATGATGATGATGACAATGGAGAGCTGTCAATATTCTTTAAGACGCGTGCTGTCATACTTCTCGTATTAGACGAAGGTGTCGTCGTCAACGCAGATCTCTACCATCTCGGACACTTCTGCATCTGCCAGCTTGGAGAACCTTTCTCCTGGAACAAATGTCAAGTGTCTGAGCCTCTGTATAACAAGCACGTTGGGCAAAGATTGCGCGTGGTAATATATATATATATACACATGTACAAACTTGTCTGTATATGGGCGTTTCCACAAGACAGGGACCCCTGTCAGAGATGCCTGAATAGGTGCGTATTGAGGCCCCCTCTTTTTGAAAAACCTGTATATGTACATATAAATATATATATGTATATATATATATAGGCTTATCATGATCTCACTATACACACTTTGGGGCCTGAGTGCGCCCGAGGATCTGAGGTTTCATCACTTGGACACTTGGCTTAGGAGAGAATCCTACCCATGGCTTTTCTTGAAGCATCAGGAGTCTGGTTGGGGCAAGGGAATTAGATTAGGCTTTGTACCCAAAGAACTATATTCCCTGCTGGAACTGTCATGCTTCTTAGGGTGTAAAAGGTCGACTGGGTGGTT